GCACACAAGCAAGGCGCATGCGTGGAAGGCCGGGCGCATGCCTGGAAGACATGCACACAAGCAAGGCGCATGCGTGGAAGGCCGGGCGCATGCGTGGAAGGGGCACGGGCAGCCCACGAAGCAGGCGGGCACGCATGGGGCGATCTGGTAGTAACAAAACGTGAAACCCACCACTGATGAAGTTGATATAATTTAACATTGGCAAGTTTGAAAAAATAGGGATTTACTTTAGAGGGTTGCTTGGGTATCACAGAGACGAAACGCCAACCATTGGATCAATGAAAGAATATAAAGGTTGGTTGGTTTGGTTTGGTTTATTGGATTTATATGCCGCCCTTCTCCCAAGGACTCAGGGTGGCGTACAACATTAAAAAAACACATATTACAAAAGTTAAAAAAAAATTGGATAGAATATCCAAAAAACAAACCCAATTAAAAATTAACAATAACATTAAAAAAATTCAATTAAAATTAATCAATAATTTATTTTGTTTTGTTCAGGCCAGGCTGGCTTGCTGGAAAAGCCAACTTTTTAGGGAGCGTCTGAAGGACCGGAGGTCAGGGATTATACGACGCTCCGGGGGCAGCTCATTCCAGAGGGTTCGCATTCCAGAAGATGCTTAGCATCCTTTTCTAAGCCATACAAGAAGAGAGAACTTTTTATTTATTTTTCTTTGGGACCCAGTGAGGCTCCCGGGAAGAGAATTCGTTTAAATAATAATAATATTGTTTTTTTTAATTGAAGTTTAAAAATCCAAATGCAAAAAAAAAACCTAATTAAGACAAATTAAGAAGACAAATTTAAAATATATATTAAAAAGAAAAAGTGAAAAGCACAGAAAGAAAAAGGAAAAAGAAGGAAGGAAAAAGGGGAAAATATATTTTAAAAAGCTTTAGAAAAAAATATACAGGTAGTCCACAATTGAGCCCCAAATTTATGTTCCTAAGTGAGACATTTGTCATAAGTGTAAAAATGATCCTGTCAGTTTTTCAATGCAGTTGCAATTTTGAACAGTCACTAAATGTACTATTGTAAGTCAAGGACTCTCTGTAAAAAGAAATTACTTCCCCTTTCATCAAGACATTTACAACAATTTAGTGCATTCTCTATTATTTCAATCAAAAATCTCTTTATCTTAAACCTCATCTTTTATCTATTAGCAAATAACAAAGTCTCATAATTCAATCTTGTTCACCAAAATTCATTACGTTACCAGAAATAATAATTTAAGTATGTATGTATATAAATAAAATAGCAACATATAAAAGGGACACGGTGGCTCAGGGGCTAAGACACTGAGTTCATTGATTAGAAAGATCAGCAGTTCGGTAGTTCGAATCCCTAGCGCCGCATAATGGAGTGAGCTCCTGTTCCTTGTCCCACTTTCTGCCAACCTAGCAGTTCGAAAGCGCGTAAAAAATGCAAGTAGAAAAATAGGGACCACCTTTGGTGGGAAGGGAACAGCGTTCTGTGTGCCGTCGGCGTTTAGTCATGCTGGCCACATGACCACGAAGACGTCTTCGGACAGCGCTGGCTCTTCGGCTTTGAAACGGAGATGAGCACCGTCCCCTAGAGTCAGGAATGACTGGCACATACATGTCAGGGGAGCCTTTACCTTATGTATATAAAAGAAATAAAACTCTTTCAAATTTCTCTCCTTTACACAATATCTTGTCATTTTCTCTAGAGACACAGAGGGAGGAAAAAAAACACCCTCTTTTCATGCTTTATATCTATAAACAAATCTTTTAAAATCTCATTGTTAAGCCTTAATCAAAGAAAATTCCATTAGGGGCTACCCAGAATAATAACATATTAAATGTTTTAATCTTTAATCTCTTCAAATGATGTCCCATAAATTAATTTCTCCTCTTCTCTTCATCCTTCTCATTTTTAATATCATAGCATATGATTTTCTCTAAAAATGCAAGAAAAACACATATTTTCCCCATATTTTATCTATAAACAAATCGTTAAAGCCTTTTATTGTTCAGAAAACCCATTAAAAGCTAAGAGGGGAAAAAAAGTAACCAATCCATTTTAACCTTAGTCAAAGAAACCAACTTTTGGGCTTGAAGTAAATCATGTTTATTGTTTCGTAGTATATCAGAACCTGTGTCTTCTGAATAAAAGGGACGCAGTGGCTCAGTGGCTAAGATGCTGAGCTTGTCGATCAGAAAGACCGGCAGTTCAGCTGTTCGAATCCCTAGCGCCGCATAACGGAGTGAGCTCCCATTACTTGTCCCAGCTTCTGCCAACCTCGCAGTTCTAAAACACGTAAAAAATGCAATTAGAAAAATAGGAACCATCTTTGGTGGGAAGGTAACCGCGTTCTGTAGGCCTTCAACGTTCAGTCATGCCGGCCACATGACCACGGAGACGTCTCCGGACAGCGCTGGCTCTTTGGCTTTGAAATGTAGATGAGCATTTTCCCCTAGAGTCTGGAACGACTAGCACATATGTGCAAGGAGAACCTTTACCTTCTGAATAAAAATCACCTTTAGGCTGTTCTATAGGGTATTACATGACCGCTTATAATGTCACGGAACTGATTTTTTCCCCCCTGTTCTTTTCACATTTCAAGGTACAACATTCAAGATAAAGATACATTTTTTGACAACGGGACTCGCAGTCGAATTGTAAGTAAATCCGCAAGAAAGTTATTGTTGAATTATGGCTTAGAATGCTTTCCATCACTTTAGCACAGGGGTCGGCAACCTTAAACACTCAAAGACCCACAAAGGTCCTAACCAGAAGCCCCCTGTTCAATTCTGGAGCCGACCAAAAGTCCAGTTGCCCCACCATAGAGTCTCCTCCAAGCGTGGCATCCCATTTCCTCTGCTGACCGGAAGTCTGGTTCCCCCCACCATAGAGTCTCCTCCTAGTGCGTTGTCCTTTTTCCTCTATCTGTCCTAACTAAAAGCTCTCTCAATTGTGGAGCTGCATGCAACTCTGGAGCTGCATGTGGCTCTTTCATCCCTCTCTTGTGGCTCCCTGTCAGTGACAGGGAGCCACAAGAGAGGGATGAAAGAGCCACATGCAGCTCCAGAGCCACGGGTCGCCGACCCCTGCTTTAGCAGATAAGAGAAACAAAGAACGTTCCTATTTCAAAGTGCTGATTCAAATGCGGAGGCTCAGAATTTCAGCTAGTCGCAATAGCACTTGGACTTATATACCACTTCACAGTGCTTTCCAGCCCTCTCTAAGCGGTTTACAGAGTCATCACATAACCCCCGACAATTTGGGTTCTCATTTTACCCACCTCGGAAGGTTGGAAGGCCGAGTCAACCTTGAGCTGGTCAGGATCGAACTGCTGGCAGTCACCCTGCGATACTGCATTCTAACCACTGCGCCCCTAGGGCTCTGTAATATCTGTGCCAGAATAGAGCTGGAAGTGACCTTGGAGGTCTTCTAGTCTAACCCCCTGCTCAAGCAGGAGACTCCATACCATTTCTCTTCTTAAACACCTCCAGTGATGAATGTCTATGGAGATTCTCAGTCATCCACTAGCTTCAAGGTGCTAGTCATTACTTTTAAAGCCCTACATGGCATCGGACCTGGCTACCTGAGAGACCGCCCCCTGCCAATTCCCTCCCATAGACCTATTAGATCCCACAGACTAGGCCTCCTCCGGATTCCATCTGCCAGCCAATGTCGGCTGGCGACTCCCCGGGGGAGAGCCTTCTCTGTTGCAGCTCCGGCCCTCTGGAACGAGCTCCCTGTTGAGATCCGGACCCTTACTACCCTCCCAGCCTTCCGCAAAGCCACCAAGTCCTGGCTGTTCCAGCAGGCTGGGGGGTGGGGGGTGGGCTGAGAAGCATTTACCACCACGGAAATTGTGAATGTTGC